ACTAGTTGGGCTGAACAGGCTGTTTCTGTGCTGTATCAATCTATGTTATAACCTGAGCCAATAGAAAAGTGCGGAAATATTTGCCAAAAACTGAGGGGAGATTTGGAACTTTGTGGAAAATTCTTGGTCAAATTTGACAGATTTTACAGAATATGGCAGGGAGTTGATTGGTGCCATTGAGGTACATTTTACTGAAACCTACATTTTTTCACTTTATTGATAAGAACTAAACATGAAGAAATACCACATATCAGATTGTTTCAAAAAAAAATTAACTGCTTCTTTAACAAAACAGGGTGGCCTTTCTTTGAGGGAGGGGAGGGGGGATACCAGTGAAGATACAGGAGCTCTTCAGGGCCCAGCATCCCACACAGACCCAGAGAGAGAGACACCCACACACACATTCAGAGATACAGAGAGACACACACACTCAGAAGCACAGAGAGAGAGACACAGAGAAAGACACAAAAACAGAGACACACACACATTCAGAGACACAGGGAGATATACACACTCACAGACATTAGAGACACACGCACTTAGAGACACAGAGAGAGACACACATACACAGACACCAGAGAGACACAGAGACACAGCAAGATACACACACTCAGACACATAGAGAAAGACACACATGCACAGAAACAATGAGAGACACACACTCTGAGACACAGAGAGACACACCTTCTAAGAGAGAGGATATGAGTAACTCTGTGTGACACTCACAAACATATAGAGAGACACACATAGGCACATCCACAAACACAGAGGAGAGTGAGACACAGACATATTCACAGACACTCACAAACACAAATAGAGAGACATACATACAGACAATCATACACAACAACAACAAAATTACATTTATAGAGCGCCCTTCACAACGGGAGGATGTCCCAAAGCGCTGAACAGTCAGGTGTCGGGGCTCGAGCATGGGGGAGGAATACACACTCACTCAAACACACACACATACAGCACCACACTGCACTTACGAGTCTGGAGCAGTCCCGCCTACATCAGGTAAACAGCCCGGACGCCCGTGGGCCAGAAACTACATTTATAGCAGGTTTGTAGCGGATTCCGTAGAAAGAGTGCAGCCGCACCTTTCTATTAGCCCAGTTTATAACTGTACCTTCCTCTGTACAATTGTGCTGCTGTACCTCTTGCTCAATCTTTGTAGATCAGGCCACATGTGTAACTAGTTTTCATGGAACCTATGGAGTCTGTGGCACAAAAAAAAATAAATCTTTATCACCATAAGTAGGGAAACTGTTGACAAGAAGAAATTATTAGCAAATGAAATTTACAAGTACATTGAAATAAATTACCCACAAGTTCATAATTTGAGAAATGAAGTAAAGCTTCCTAGTTTCACAGAGTGCCTGAGAAATCCCAAATACATGGTATCACTTTTGGATAGTGAATTCAATAGCCGATCTATATTTTAAGCAAAATTGCCTTACGGGCTTTTTATTTTTGCAACAAAATCACTTGTTTTGATTTTTTACTGTAAAGTGTGCATCTGTAGGTAAACAAAGCAAGCAATTTGTGTACAAATGACCATGGATGGAGTGAATGACTAGTTATATTTGGGGATTGTTGGCCAGGATACTCTTTTCAAACAATGCCATGGGACCTTTAATGTCCACCTGACTGGGCCAATGGGACCATCTGTCTCCAATGTGCCATTGATTATACTCATGACAGATAGCCTATATTTTATAGAACAGATTTATGTGACAGACTAACCTGTTTGATAGGTCAGTGAATTAAATCAGTACCTGTCATATGGGAACATATATATTTTCCACAGTTGTGCAATGGTGGGTTGAAGTTGAAATGAAATGAAATGAAAAATATGGCATACTGCAGTGTTCTATGACTGGTATTTTGCTATAAACACTGTTGCTAGGTAACACAGTTGTTACCAGATGCACAGCTATGAAGAAACATCTGTATCAGCCACTTCTGCACAATGAAAATCTATTCATCTTCATATCCCCTGCTAAAACCACTGGGCAACATTACCTTCATAGTTAACAGGACAATTGAGTTCCATGTAATGAAGCATATTCTCACAACACCAGAAATACAAAATATACAGTGTTTATTGATCCATTCTTCTGTAGCAAAAAAATTGTACCTTTTGGCTTTTCGTTAGCTATCTTTTACCAAGCTACATATTATGTATATCTTTCAACTTGTTTTCTTTGTAACCAAGCTGAAATAGAATCACCCTGAGGCACTTTTACAGATTGTAACTCTAACTCTCCACAGTGTTCCTGTGTGTCTTGAGTGTGTATTATGCAAAATTGTGTTTTTTGTATTTATTGTAGTGGATGACTTTTACTAATAATAATTCTTGCATTTGATTTAGTGCTTGATCACATGATTGAAACATCTCAAATTGCTTCCCTGGATGTACTGACTGTGTATTTGTAAGCTAACGGACAGCAGATTGGGCACAACGATGTCCCACAAACAGCCATTAAGTGAATGACCACCATTTTTCTGGAGGAATGTATTAAAATGGTATCCTATCTCTCTGCCTCCACCCTCAACTCCAGGACCACTGATGTCCTGACAGATTGCCTGTTGGAGATTAAGTCCTGGATGAGAGCCAACTTTCTACAGTTGAACGTCAGCATGACCGTGGCATGAATGTGGGGGAGAAAGGACAGTTGAAGGTCAAACAAGATGCCTAGATTCCTTACTGGCTTGGTGAGGTGGAGTGTGCATCCGTGGATGCTGATGCTGCCAGTGCCTGAGGTGTGGAGGTGCTGGCGCGAGCCAACCAGTAAAAAACCTTGATTGCCCGATTGCCCAATTCTGCCACTGCCTCACCCCGCAGGCTGCCAAAACTCTCATACATGCCTTCATTACATCCAGGCTCGACTATGCCAAAGTCCTGCTTGTCGGCCTTCCCAATCTTTCCCTCCGCAAGCTGCAGAACCTTCAGAACTCTGCAGTTTGTGTCCTCTCCCGCACTAGGTTCCGTGACCTCATCACACCCACCCTCACCCAGCTCCACTGGCTCCCCATCCCTCAGAGGATCGAGCTCAAAATTCTCGTCCTCACCTTCAAGCCCTCCATGGCCTTGCCCCTTCTATTTCTCTGACCTGCTAACCCCTTATCAACCTATCCGCTCCCTCCACTCAGCAGGATCTGGCCTGCTCCATGTCCCATTGGGCCTTCAGCCTCTCTGCCCCCACCCTCTGAAACTCCATCCCACATTCCCTTAGCCTCACTCCCTGCCTTGCCTCCTTCAAGGGATGCCTCAAGACTCTCCTCGTCGACTGTGCATTCGGCCACCCTCCTACCCACTCTGCCCTCCACCGTCCCTGATCCCAACCTCCCCACCCCACAGCTCGGGTCCTAATCCCTGATTGTTTAGTGCCTTGGGACATCCTCCTGACATAAAAGGTGCTTTACGAATGTCATTTTTTATTGTATTGGATCCTTATGTTTGAGTACCTTTTGTGGAGTTTGTGGAGTCCTGTAGCTCAGTGGTTAGAGCACTCGCTTTGCAAGTGAGAGACCTGAGTTCAATTCCAGGCAGGGCGAAACCTTGGGCAAGTTTCCTTACTCCACACACCTAATAATAATCCCTCCAAAACCAAAAACAATAATTAAATTGGTCATTTTCAATCTACGACTGTTTGTGGGACATTGCTGTGTGCAATTGGCCGCCGCGTTCGCCCACAAATATACAGTCAATTCACTTTACAGTGTGTTCTGTGAAGCGCTTTGGGACGTCCTCCTGACGTGAAAAGCACTATATCAAATGCAAGGATTATTATTATTATTATTACCTTTAATACTGTTATATTAGTATATTTTTGACTTTGGTATGGGAGCTAATATTGTACAGAGCTGGTGATCCCACAGCAACAGGAATCTCTAGCTGTCTAAGGATTAAGCAGGGTTTTACTATGGAGACAGGAATTGATTTGGGATCTGGTCTTAGAGGAAGATGTTTGTGTTATTCTTCTCAGAGAATATGCATTAGTCAGAGCTTGTCAGACTTGTGTAGAAAATTCCCTAAGGTTTACACTGACAACTTGTTACTTGGACCTTAAATGTTATTGAAGGATCTTACCTAGATTTAACCAGTTATACCTACAAACTTCAACTGACTTGTTAAATTACATTCTTTTTCCTTTCTTTCCTACAGTTCCAATCTTCTCCAACTCAATTCTATCCGTATCCTATGCTCTTCCAATTCTGATGCTTGTTTCTTGCTCCCTCCATCTCATCATCGATGGCTAAGCCTTCAGTCAATATGTTCCCACTTTTAGAATTGTCCCAAAAATGCCCCTCCTTTTTTAACTGCTCAGTGATCTTGGTTGCTCTTTGAGCAGTGCTTTGAGACGTTCATTCTACAGGAAAGGTGTTATATAAGTTTCAAGTTATTGAAAGTTATTATTTTGAAACTATAGTCTTACTTCATATTTCTTGCTCAAATCAGTAATGTTGGATATTTTGAACATTAATATCCATATACTAAGTTAACTTGTTAGGACTTATTAATCAACTTTTGGCCAATTTAAAAACTGTGGTATACCCAATAAGAGAAGTTGATCACACAATTTACCTCTAACAACCATTACCCATTTTACATCTGGACTTATACAGCGTCTTCCTGTATTGTATTTGTACTCCTTACTCCCTCTTTTTTATTTCCCCTTTCTCTTTTAGTCCTTGTATGTTGCAGCGGTGGCGTGGGGGTTATAATTCTTCCACCCCTGCTCCTTCTTTCTTTGATCACTTCTGTTTGTGTCCTTCTTACTGCATTATTCTGGATTTCCTTTTCAATCCTTTTACTTCATGGGTTTCTTATACACCTTGTGTTCCTTCTGTAAATCTCTCCTTTTAATATGTATGAACTGGGTGTGTTTCCTTCTCTGTTTATGGCTCCTTTTTCCATGGTTGCTTGTCAATATTTTGTATTCTGTCTCCCACTCTCATCTGCTCACTTGATCCTTTCATACTTGTCATACCATTTCTCTTGATTTTCTTTCCGTTGAGATGTTGCCTACTTCAATATTTTTGGCTTCAACCAGCTGTACAGCGTCACTAGTCTCCTTGAGAATCTGCACCAGAGAACCCATTTCTTCCCTTATCGGGGTATTTATAATTTCTAGCAGGGCTATTTGGGGATCCTCTCCATCTTCTTTAGATTTTTTCAACACTTTCCTAGCCACCTGCACCATTCTTTCTGCAAATCCATTCCCCTGTGTGTATGTATATTCATATCTTGAGGATCTATATTATCAGCATTCTCACAACAGTATCATAATCAGAATAAGAACCCATAGCTTGAATTTGCTTCAGAGCTCCTCATTACAACTCCCTTTTGCATTTTATCTCTCCTCCAACCCTCTCTTTGCAAGAAGCAGTCTGGTGAATAGTGCACACTGTCAGATAATCCAGATAATTGGTGGCTTGTTAGAGAGGAAGACATATACATGCACTTGATTATAAAGCAATCTTCCCTGCCTGTCCCAAAGGTAACCATCTCTTTCACAGTTTGGCCACAGCATTATTCTGAAAGCTGCTAAGGCCACTATTCTGAATTCAGGTTGCAAATCTATTGTAAATCCTATTGGATCTATGTTGCAAACCAAGAATCTAATAAATTCAGGAAACTTTAACCCATAATTGTTGCATCTCATTTTATAATAATTGTGTCTTATTTTATTACATGGTTTAAATGTTATTAGCATTTTCCATAGACAAACACAATATACTATATTCTGAAATACGTGTATTCTATACAAAACTATTTATATTTATAAAAGGCCTTTCAAATGAGGAAGACATCTCAAAACCCTTTACACAGATGTCTGTGTGAAGCTGGCTATACTATATACAAAACATGTTTTAGGTTTGCGGAGCCCAGCAATGGTGTATATATGTGTCTGATGAAATTAACAAGGGAATGATCATGCTAAGACAAAAGAATTTATATCACAGTAGTGCGCAACTCAAAATTGAGAAATTATTATTTATCTCGTTTTCATGAATCGAATCATCACATTTGCTACTTTAATATGTATGGATTTATGAGAAACTAGCTTTCTCTCAAATTCCAGTAATCTAATATAGCTTACTCAGGAAATTAATAATATATAAGCATACTCCAATGACGCCACCCTCTCATCAATTTCTCATTGCAGCAGAACTAGTTTTTAGCAATGTCCTGAACCTGCTCTTTTTTATTCTATCTTTCCATTTTACTTTCACAGCCAAGCAGATTGGTGAAGCTTGTGCCAAATTGTTCTTAGTGACCTCTGCTAATGTTATTGCATGATTGTCCAGCACTAGGTGAAGTTGACTTGTAGGACAGTGGGTGGTGTCAGTGAGACACAGTGAGACATGATGGATTCTTGTCACTAAAATGCAGATGAATTTTGGTTCTTCAACTTGGAGACAATCTGAGAATCAATTAAACTGTTCTCATTGGTACTGGTAAGATCAAATGATTGACAAACACCAGACCTGTTTTGCCTGTTTAACCTTTACTGCTGTACCCAATTTCAGTTAGGCACAGACATCAAGGATTGATAGGAAGAAATTTGTTTAAAACTTGAATTGCAAAAACCAGGCTTCAACATTAATCCTGAATTGAAAAAGTTTGAAAAATTCAGTACAATTATAGATTCAAAGATGATCTTAAAACTATGACTAAGGAGAATTTCAGGCCTCTACAGCACAGGAATAATGGTGTTTCTGTGGTGGTTATATCCTAGTTCCATTTCTAATACCAGCTTCATTGCCTGTGGTGGGTTTGTATTAATCCTTTCCAATATCATGATGACTTTTCAGAGTTGCTTGTTTTCCTAAACTACATATAGTGTGCTATCCTGTGTAAGGAGCTTCCATCTAAGAGATGCCCATTCCAGGGGGATTCTCTTATTCTAATTCATTTTCACTCCGCGCTGTTACTATAGTTACTACATTGCGCATTGTTGATCTTGGCTTTCCTATTGGTTCTCTGTTATGATTTTTCTTTGTGTGGTGTGAACTCTTTTTGGAATAAAGAGTTTTTAAAAACTCTGCATAAGTACCGAAGCAGATATAAGTTTTGTGCTTGGGAACAAATCAGTTTTAATGATGGTTTTGCTTACAAATGCTAATTAGATCATTACACCCCACTGTGACTGTCTTTTCACATAGAATTACAAGACTCCATGCATTGTCCTCGATGAATAAAGAGCTTACTCTGATCATTTTTTTACCATATTTTAGGAGTATTATTTCTCTTTTCCAGTCTCCCTTGTCTGATCCCAAATGCAGTCTCTCTAATCCCCTACAACCCAGACTGTTTTTGTAAGCCTCTAACTGCACAAACGTGACATGACCCAGGGGAATAATGAATGTATGCTTTACTAGTGTGTGTGTGTATACTCCATATGTCAGCCTAGCTCAGCTTGTAGCACTCTCATTTTCTGAGTCAGAAGGTTATGGTTCAAACCCCATGTCAGGACTTTAAACTCAGTCTACTCTGACACTACAATACAATGTTGTGAAAGCGCTGCACTGTTGAGGTGCCATCCATTGGATGAGAAATTAAACCCAGGTCCTGTTTGTCTGTTCAGGTGGACATTAACAATCTCATTTCACTATTTGAAAAGAAAGGAGTGTTTCTCCCTGGATCTTGACCAACAATCACTTGGATAACAGTCACTTCCAGGCTGTGTACAAAACCGGCTCCCACTTTTGCCAACAAGGTCCTGTGAAACATTTCAAAACATCCTCCTGACATGAAAGGCACAATATCAAATGCAAAGATTATTATTTTTACTCATTTCACACCACCACATTTTCTGAAGATGGTGCAAACCATCAGATTCACAGCAATGGAGACAATTTATAAACAGTTAAACACTGAAAGGCCAAATTTCCACTCAATCTTAGCCAATAGATATTGTTGTCATAAAATTTAAGATGGCCCAGAATTGTGAAAAATTGTTAAACTCGATTTTAATTCGGATGTCGGTTCTTTATACAAACTGCAGAAAACAGCCTCCAAACTGAGCTTGATTTTAAGAATTTTCCACAATTCTGCACCACCTTAATTTTTAAGATAAAAATGGTCTTCAAGGCCAAGATTTGGTGAAATTTGGGGCCTTAAGAATACAATTATTATTATTAATAATGGTAATCCTTACATTTGGTATAGCACTTTTCAACTCGGGAGGATGTCACAAAGCAATTCACAGGATATAACGCAGGATGGGGTCTGTGTATTTTTGGGGCAATTGTACTGTATTGAGGCATTCTAGTATGAAAAGCCTGAATTTTAGCAACATCCTAAAATTCATTGAGGTGAAATTTGTGATATTTTGTAATGCATTTTTTGTGATAAATATCACAGGAATGAGTTTCATTGATTCATAGAATGTTACAGCACAGAAGGAGGCCATTCGGCCCATCGAGTCTGTGCAGGCTCTTTGACAGAGCAAGTCACTTTCACTAACTCCAATCACCAGCTTTCTCCCCATAACCCTGCAAACCCGTCTTCCCCAGATACCTGTCCAGTTCTCTCTTAAAAGCTATTATCGAATCGGACTTCACTACTCTTTCAGGCAGATCATTCCAAATCATTCCAAATTCGGACAATTGTGATGAAACACAATTTTTTTTTACTGTTTGAAAGTCACTGCTAGTGTACAATCAGCTGTCAGTCAACACAACCTGTGTGGATGGATGCTATCAACCTGTACGCTCCCTCTGCTCAGTAGGCTCCGGTCTGCTCCACACCCCCCGCCCCGCCCACCCCATCATCGGCAGTTAGGCCTTCAGCCTTTTTGTCCCCACCCTTTGAAACTCCATCCCACATTCTCTTTGCCTTACACCTTTCCTTGCCTCCTTCATGGCATGTCTCAAGACTCTCCTCTTTGAATGCCCTTCGGTTACCCTCCTACCCTCCCTGCCCTCCAATCCCCCTGATCCCACTTGGGTCCAAATCTCTGACTGTCCAGCATCTTGGGACGTCCTCCCAACATGCAGGGAGCAAAACAATAATTTTGTATTGTAATTTTGTATTGAATGTTCCTTTGCAAAGCTGCTATCACTGAGACAGATTTTAAACGAAAGGGTAAAGGAAACCAACTTTATTTATTCACTTCATGCTTCTAATTAGGCACAAACCTCTAACTTGGGCGCCTATCCAGCACTGTGAAGTGTTTTGAGACATGCTCCCAAAGTGAAAGGCGCTACATAAATGTAAATTATAATGTATTGTAAAACAGCAGAGCATAGAATCCTTCATACTCTACCATTCTGTTTTTATAGGTAATGTGTAACAGTTGTTACACTTGATAACTCTTACTTTTGATTAATTTCTTCCAAAGACGAGGATTCCTCCGAACTGCACGCTAGGTGAAGAAACTCCCCAAATTAATTTGACCCAAAGTCGATATGAGAAGCTCCCTACCAACTGGAGATTATGAATTGAAATGCTTTTTTGATTTGTGGTGAGTACTCTTTGATATCGATTTCATTCAGAAGATATTAAAATACAATAGTGGACTACATCTATCAAAATATCTTTCAGTCCAGCTCAGTCATGCTGCTGTTGATGCCTACATAATTCAGTCTGCATAACTTTGTAAAATGCGGCTTTACAGAGCAGCAGAATTTCATCCTCCTGTAGTGTCAATACTCTTGGGTGAGGTCCAGCACTAGCTAAGTATCACATATGTTCACTTTTAGCCTATCACAATGACTTTCTTAACACACACCTGAAAAGAGCTCTCTTTACTGGCAAACAGTGGGAAATTATATAGCAGCATGACCTCTTTAAGTGAACCTAGCAATTTGTAAGAGTGAGTGGCACATTTTAACAGTTTTCTGCTGTAGGCTCAGACTCAAACTGGGTGTTCAGATAATAATAATAATAATAATAATAATAATAATAATAATAATAATGTAGCATTTGACATAGCGCCTTATCACATCTTCGAGACGACTCAAAGTGCTTCACAGAATATACTGGAAAGTGAATTGACTATATTTTATGGGCAAAATGCAGCAGCCAAAATGCAGCAGCCAATGATGCTTAAGCTTGTCTCATCCAGTCGAGGGCATTTAAAAACAAAAAAAAATTGTTGCATTTGTTCAGCATGTTTTAGTGAATCTTGAGGCCATTTGAGGCCAGCGCTTTGGGACATCCTCCCGACGTGAAAGGTGCTCTATAAATGTAATT